GCACAACAACGTGCACAACTACTCCTTGCACAACACGTCTGCATCAGGATATATTGCCTTTAGCTGGGTAATGAAAGTACCGTAGAGTCATAGATTTTTATTACAAGTGCAACCAATCGTTCAATAAGCAATGCTTAGTCTGATGCAAAGAGCACTGCAGTCAAAAGGAATCAAAGGAAGTACTTTCTCTGGCTTCAGGTGGCATGCATGGTATTAAAAATCAAGGGAAGAACTTAAAATTAAGAAGAAGCCACATTAATAGTTAGTTTCTTCTTCAGAAAGGCCTGTTGGGCTAAAAAAAGGAGGAGGTTAAAAAAAGAACTTCAGTTTTTCACTGCTGTACTGAAACCGGCACATTGTATACGGTCAAGGGATAAATAGTACTCAAGTGTGTGAAGAATTGAACCAGAGTTTGAATGGAATCCATATAAATTTTAAGACATAGTTTCCTCAGTGGCAAAAGGAAAAAGAAGTTGTTTGTGCTGAAAATGGCACAGGAAAATATAAAGGCACTCAAGTGATCCAGGAAAACTTCGGGAGACCTCAGACTCCTGCGGCTGCGTAACAAGATGAAAAGTAAATTGCTTTATTATTGCTTATTGGAATTCACAACAGCCAAAAAGATCATTAACAGCTCAGGACCAGAGAGCATGAAGGGTTTAAAAATAGAAATGTATCTGTGCCTTGACTTCAGACTTATTCACCCTCAAGCTATTTAAGACTGCAAAATATTTGTAAGACAGTATCTTAGAAACACAATGACATGGAAATCCAGAAGACTCAGACTCATACCATCAACACAATAGGGTTGGTATGATTTCCTCCTCGGATGCACCAACCGAAGTTGTAACTTTGCCACGAAGCTTTGGGTAGCAAAAAGCAAACAGCGTATTTTAGCAATGGTTCAAAAACGTCCTGCGCAGCTACTGCTAGCTGTATGCTTTCCTGCTATTGTCTGTATTTGCTCTTGGACTAAGTAAACCAGTATAATGGTTTTCCTGTTTAATACATTGGGATTTGGCTTTTTTTTTTTTTTCCTTTCTCCTTTGATCAAAGCAGGGCTGGGAAATGGGGTTTTGTACTTACAACTCTGTGGCAGAAGCATGCCAAGAATCGGCTGAATGCATGTCGTGGAGGTATTGTTAAATGAATACAGAATTCAGCTGCATTTGTACAAATACAAATATTATAGAATCATAGATTCACAGAATGATTTGTGTTGGAAGGGACCTTAAAGACCATCCAGTTCCAACCCCCCTGCCATGGGCAGGGACACCTTCCACTAGACCAGGTTGCTCCAAGCCTCATCCAGACTGGCCTTGGACACTTCCAGGGATGGGGCATCCACAGCTTCTCTGGGCAACCTGTCCCAGTGCCTCCCCACCCTCTCCAGGAAGAATTTCTTCCTGATATCCAATCTAAACCTCCCCACTTTCAATTTAAACCCATTGCTGTCTTCCATCAAACCTGGCCCATACGGTAGCTGCGAGTCACACAGAGGTATTTTCAGCTATTTCTCGGTTACTTCCAGACCCCTGCTTCTCTAACTGCCCATTTTTCCTCACTCTTCCAGTGAATCCTCCTTAGCATAATCCTGCCTCAGATTTTCTATTGGTACAAACAAAACTTGTTTTCACTTGCATCACAAATATGAAGAAACACCCCACTTTAATGGAAAGTACCTCAAGTGCAGTGCAAATCACTTCTGGAAAGCATCATCTTGCATCTGATGAGCTCACATCTACTATTCTGTCTTTAAGAACTGACAAAACCAAACCGTTTATGAACTAGTCAGTGATTTACCTGCTTCTGGTTTCATATCCATTATCTCAGAACAGAATTCCCATCTTCTGACTAAATTTCATTACTTAAAGCATTAATATTTTCTGGATAGAAAGGGGGAGTTGGTATAAAGCCTCATGTTCTGCCTTCTCACAGAACAATTAAATGTGAGCAGGAGAACAAACTGGAAACGGCAAGTCAGGTCTGAGCCCAGCGTTGCTTGTACAAGTCCCACAGGGCAATAAAAATGTGACACACACCATGCAGCCTTTATGCTTCCCGAGCCATTTCCCTTCAGAGCCGCATTCAGCTCGACACAGTTGGAGGAATCCCTGAGTTTCATTCCTTTAGTTTTACCATCTCATTTTTTTCTTAATAATTAATACATTTTTCAATTTAAATGAACAAACCAAATAGCATTCTTCCTCATTCTGAGCCCATGTCAGATGTCTTAGTGAAAGTTCTTACACCATACATTCTGCTGAACGCCTAAGACTGAAGTCGGGAGAAAACCAGAGCTTCCAGGATAAGACCCATCATGTAACACCCAGTGTCTACGGTGCAGCCATCTCCCTCTGTGCCAGAAACCAAACCTCCCTCTGTGCTCCCGGAGACAGATGTGTAACGCCTAAGACTGAAGTCGGGAGAAAACCAGAGCTTCCGGGATAAGACCCATCATGTAACACCCAGTGTCTACGGTGCAGCCATCTGCCTCTGTGTCAGAAACCAGATGTGTCTTAGGAGGGATTCATTTGATCTCAAAAGTGGGTATCTAAAGTGTCTAGAGCACAAGATTTCCCTCCTGCGTGGTTGGGAAGGTGTCTGTAAACGAAGCAGTCAGAACCTCCAGGCAAATCTCAGTTCTGGCCTCTGCCGTCCGGAGCACTGGGAAGGGCACCGCAGATCCCTAACACGAACTGCCTTGTATTTCAAATCCAGCGGTACTCGGTTGCATACTCGGAGCATAGGGAGGACTGGGAACAGAACGAGAACCTGTCCCGCAGGAGAAACTCTTGCATATTTAAGTTTATTTCAAATAAGTGTTTAAAAAAAAAAAAAAAATCCCGAACTAAAACAGATTTATTATATATTTGGTTTTCTTAAAAAATTATTCCGTGAAAGAGTTTTATAGGTATCTAGGTAGTAATACAGGTTTTTTATATACAAAATTCCATTTCAAACAATTTACTGTACAAAAGGAAGTATAAGCAACCATTACTATCTTGTGATCTGCGCAAATAATGAAAGATTCTGATAAGTACGTGTTCAGGCTACACTTCTACCGTTTACAGGAATGTCAGTATTACGTTGGGAATACTTTCAGTTAAGTATTTACAGGTGAAATTCCCCTTGAGGAAGTTCCCCTAAGATTTCTCTTCAGAACAGGAAGTTCATGTTTGGTTTCTTTTGGGCTACCAAGGAACGAGAGGAAGAACACTTTTTTGATAAGCTGTACGGGCAGAATTCTGCTTGATTTATTCCTACTCACAGTCCTGTTGCAGCCAGTGGGCCCCATCTGGTACACGCTTACTACCAGGTGTAACACTTACTGTTTGAATAAACCAGGCAGGATTTGGCCCTACAGTAGTAAGCTATCATAAGTTACAGATTTTAAAAATAGTGACATTCCTGCAAGTCAAAATACAACAGAAACAAGAGTTAACAAAATATAAGCCCTTTATTAATAAAAATCTTTGGTTGGATCAATATTTTAAATAAGCTTCAAGAATATTTGGTTAATATCATTTTCTTTCTTCCACATAATTTCTTTTCTGTTACCTTCTTTGGACAGACTACAGAAAAATATCAAGTTTGTCACATACTTTAAAACAAATAAATATATCAAAAGCTAAATATGGTATTTTTTAAGTTCTAGCATTAATCTTTAAATTAGTTTGGCAAAGAAAAAAGAAAAGGAAAAAAGAAATAACATTTCTCTTGAAAAGAGTCTTTTGATGTTTGGTTTTGTAACAAACCATACAGTAGTTAGACTTTAAAGAAATCTTTCATTTTTATTTTACTTTTCAGTTTAATATTGGTAATGAAGTGCCGTGGACAAGACAAAGCAATAAAAGAAATGGGGTTAATTGCACCAATATTACTTGGAAGTGCAGTTTATTGTTTCACAAAGCAAAACTAAAACGTACTATGCTTAAAAAGATTTGTACTGATGGGATCTGCTAGGCATCATAAGTAAGGATTTTAGACTCATACTTTAAGGAAGCTCCTTGTACAAAAGAGAGAGTATTTGAAGACAGAAGTCCAGTAACTAACTGAAGGTCTGGTCCTGTAGCCCCAGGGCAGGCAAAACTTCCACGGAAGACAGTAAGTGGGACATGTTTTGGATGGGCTCCTCCAGCACAGCCTCTGGGAAATGCCATTCACCAGCAGAAAGTCTGCAGGAGCAACTGGCTGTGAAAAAAGGGTGCAGACTCCTCTCCCCTGCAGAGGATCGAGGGCTACAGAGACAAACCTGGCTAAGAAGGGGATGTGCTAAAACAACAGGGGAAAAGGGGATTTCCTCAGCGGTGTCCGAGTACGAGGCAGGGCAGTGGGAGTCACTGTAGCTCTACGTGTGCTCGTTAATTCAGGGCATTTAACGAAACGCTCTGTGATCATCTACCTGCTGGGAGGATCTTGGAAATGGTGCTGCCGCTGCCTGGCCGTGAGCGAGGAGCTGCTGGGGGACTGCTCAAACACCGCTGACGCGGCCTGGGGCGCTGAGGTAGCTTCACACACATCAGTCGTTCGTTGGTAAAAAAGAACTTTTCCAGATTCACCTTCCTGATGTTTCTGAAGAGAGCAGCACCCCGGGGAAGGTCTCGGCTGCACAGCAGATTGCCACAAATGCCCCACGCGCCCGTCTGACTCCCATGCTGGGTGGGAGCTCTGTTTGGTTTAGCCCTGGAGGTCCAAACACAGGTGTCCGCCGGCATGGCTGAACCCCTTCTTGGAAAGCAAGTGACTCTGGTGGCCCTGTACAGGGCTTCTCCTCTGCCAAAAGGAACACTAGGGCACACTCTTAAAGCTGATTTTGCATATACTTTATGGAGTTACCCCACAGACCTTAAAGCCTGGGGTTCCAAAGATGTTTAAAATGAGTAGCATTACTATTACTTAAAATTTACCTTTAGTTAGTTAGTTAGTTACTAGGCTAAGGTCAAATGCTCAGAGAATATCTCTATCAAGAGGTACTAAAGTACCTGCATTTATTAATGCACACCAACGTCAACAGTGTTATCTATCGATGAAATACAAAAATTCCCTGCATGACTGCTTGTGCAAAAGAAAAAAAACCCCAGCATTATCAGAAAAAGAACGTGGTCCTCCATATTTGTAAGAAGAACATTTCTCACAAAGATGGGAGCGAAATGGCAGCACATCCTCCATCATGGACCAGGTTGTCCGTTTCTCGAGTCTTGCCCTTTACGCGATGGCTTGTGTGTCAGTGGAATGCCCCAACATACTCAACTCCCTCTTCTATACATCAAGAGGATACAAATGGCAGGAGGACAAGCTCCCACTATGGCTCCTGGAGAGTCTGGGGCTGTGATTGTTACAGTTTTCACCTTTTTTCTTGTCCTTGTCTTTCCAGGTTTCTAGCATTTGCAGCTTCCCTTGCTCTTCTCTCATGAAGACCTCCACCATGAGAACTTTTTCTTTATGAATCTGCTGACTAATGTCCTTGGGAATGTCTGGGATAATCCAGTCAACAAAGTCACTCATAAACATGACCAAGTTCTGAAAACGAAATTGTGAGAAAATGTCAGCAAGGCCAGATGAAAGGATGACTATGCAGGAAGGGGCCATTTTTGGTGTACTTAGGAAGAATAAGAAAGGACAATATTTGAGTTGGGCTCGATGGCATGTCACAAGCCTGATACCCAGCCAAATTCACCTCAACCTCTTGTTCATGCTAGAAGTGGAGAAAAATGGCAGGCACAGGTGTCTGTGATTTATGTACAAATACTGTCACAGCCACTGAGAAATCCAAAGGAAATACTGTCATCGATAAACGGCTCATGGAGTTTTACATCAGAAAGGCAGGAGCAAATAGCAAAAGGTAAAATGATGAAAGTTGGCAAAATACATTCCAGTGAAGTGTTTCTTATTTAAAAACTCTGATTCAATGAAAGAGAGATCTTTCACAATAAGATACACATTTTGTAAAAAAAAAACCCAAACCAAACCCTGAAGTTTTCAAACATGTTTTTTAGATAACTTAAAGTACTTGTGTCACAATAACCAGCATCACCGTTGTGAGTGAATAATGTCCTTTCGTGAAAAATTACAAGATTTCACCTTCTTGTTCAGATGCAGGATAAACGCTAACTGGGAAATCTTGGAAATTTCATTTATTGGCTAGGTCTAGAAATGAGTTGGGATCAAATTTATGCTGCTTCAGTGAATTTGCTGTTGTCCTACTGGAAAAACTGGCAGGCCCAAATTAGTATCAGCCTTGTGCTTTGCTGCTCACTGAGGTCATTCCGTTGCTTCTGCATCAAACCAGTTAAGGGAATCCCTGGGGATGAGTTTTTCCACTGGGCATATACCTGGGACTGGATGGGTGGAAGGAAGATGGTGAATAAGGATGGGCAAATTTCTTTGCTTTTCCATGAAACAGCTGAGAAAGAGGGTATTTAGTTTGGCCTAATAATTTGTTTCCAAGGGTGGCTTCTTGCCTTATGTAGCTGAAGAAATACAATAACTCATTTTTTTCCCCATATAAAAAGTGCCGGCAGTACAACCCACCTGGAAAACTATCACAAATGCTAATCTTGCTGCTAGGACAGCCCAGAAATCCTTGGAAATGTCGTACTTGTTTTCAGACCAAGGGGGTTCCCGATAGTCTTTGTACCTGCAAAACAAGACTCAGTCAATCAGTGATGTCATTCAGCAATTTTAACACCACACGGAATTAATAACCAACAGTCGAACAGTACATTGAGCAGGCTAAAAGCAAGTTCACTATTACAGCACGACCCTGCATTAACCTCTTGGCGACGAGACACTGCTGAAAGCCTCCCTCAGCCTTCAAGTTTTCCTCAAAATTAAAAGTCTTCAATCTTAATACCCTCTGATTAGTACAAATAATATCAGTTCCCATAAAGACGGAGTAAAGTACACAGCACGGGTGATTTATTTTCTTTTAAGATTGGTAAGAAACCCCACGTATTTTTCGGACTGATTTTAAAGACAAAAATACTGATCTCCGGTCCGTCGTGTGTGTTATGCTACGTGGTGTTCTCCTTGCTCATGGTAAGCGAAAGGTCGCAGCTAAATTTTGCTGTATAGAGAAGAGGTGAGAATTTTGCCTTAGCTATGTCTTACAGAAAATCTATGAGCTAATCAACAATAACTTGTTAGAAATGGGATCAAGAAAATACATTCAATTTAAAACCACAACAACCTGTCTGTATTTTGAAAGGTTTAAGGTTCCGTATTTTCAAATGGTTTAAAAATCCCTGGAATATGGAGGAAGTGATGGGATGGGAAGAAGAGGCGGCGACTCGAAAGCAAATAAACCTGGCATTTTTGTATTGGACCAGGATACTTAACACTTCCATTCTGTAAGTTCTGGGCTAAAACCATGTTTGCCAACCTCATTCTCTTGTGCCCAAAGATCACCGGAAGGAAACCAGGAGTAAGTAAAATACATGTGCCATTTTTGTTGTTTTTTTTCTTTCGTCTCAGAGTGACTTTTCTGTTTAGCTGTCATTTCAGCAGGTTAACTTGCACTATTGAAATTTAAAAAGAATGTAAATTAAAAAATAATACCATTATAAAGCTGGTTGGTGGTGGGTTTATTTGTTTTTTTTCCTGGACAGTTTTTGTAAGATTTTAGTGCATATATACCAAAGTCATCTTTCTTTTTTTTTTCTCCCCTGGAATGTTGCTTTCTTCCTTGTTCTCCTCTTCCCCTTCTCACTCCCATTGCCCCCCTTTCAGTTTTGCTGTTTTAAGTACTTTCACTGATATATTTGGCTTTGGTCCCCAATTCTAAGCCTTCAAATATTTGTTTTGAAGATGATGGATATCTAAGGAAGCCTAGGCAAAGCACTGACCTAGATTGCGTGATAAGCTGAAATATGCAACAATCGTTTTCCTTTAAAAACTAAAATAACACGTAGAAATTGTTACAGGCATGCAGATTTCCTGAGGGATGATACTCCAAGCGGGTCTTAAATTCTGGGACAGATAAGGATGCTACTACTCTCATCAGGAATTGCTACAGAAACTGGACAACAAGAGGTACACTGTGAAGTCACGGTCGTTGTATCAGTAGCGTGGGATACAACAACATGACATCAGAGTAACATAATTTTGTTGCATTAAAGCATCATCGGTCTGTTTATTATTAATCTCCTTTCCTGAAAAAGGGAATACATAATAATAAAACCCTTTGCACGGACAAACAGTGAATTTAACAATGCTAAGCTGGATTTCCCAAAATAAGTGGTACTTCATATTCAGGCGTTGCAGTTGCTTAACATATAAGCAAAGATGTTCCAGGGAATGGATCCATCTGATATAAAAGGCTAACAAGGTGCTAAAAAAGCACTGAAAATACAAGGGAATGTAAAAACTTGTCCCGTTCTTAGTCAGCTGTGAAAAATACTTGTAGTTAGTTATCACTCAAGAGAGTACCTGCATATCTGAACCTCGTAGCCAAGATCCATGGGGTCGTTTGGAGCTGTTCCTGCTTGAAAATCGCTGACATTAAAAGAGGATAGTGTATGGTTCACGAAGCCATGCATGGTGCCATTCTCACTGTACATGTACAGGTACACGAGGCGTGGAATGAAGTCGGATGTGAATGAGATCACAAATGCCTAAGCCATAAGAGCACAGAGTGAGCGCAATATTCAGGCAGTGGTTAAGTTAATAATACACTCAAGTATGCCCAAACCACTCAGGGTCTGCTCCAGAAAACAAAGGGGGGAGACTGCAGCCCACAGGGACCTAAGAACCAAATATTGACTGCTGCAACAAGGGAGTATTTGCTTCCAAGTTGCAGAGTATTTCCGTGCCGACTGAGATTTCTGCATGGATAACATCTTGAACTCTCCAGAGAATGAAGTGGCTGAACGCGCCCCAGCACCAGAGGAAAGCAAAACACAGTGCTCTTTCCCCACCCCACAGTCACAGCTTATCCCTGATGCATTGTATAAGGTCCAACGGATCGATTTCCAAGTACTTTCCTGTTCTGCAAACAACTAACAGTGAATTGACTCTAAATTCTCATTGCATTGAAAAAGGCCATTAATTATATGTGGTTTTTAACTCCATCAAGATAAAAGGATGAGCAGACTGAGCCCGATTTTATTTTTATTGTCACAAAAATTGCATTTTATTTGGTTATTTAAAAAGGTTTTCTAAAAAGGTCATGCAGAAAGTGCAAGACAGCCAAATCTGCTGAGTTCTTCATAACTTTAGCTTTCCTCATCTATCTTTATTATGAAACATTCTCACTAGCATAAATCTCATGTACATGTGGAACAAACACAGTACAAAATGTTTTACTTATTTCATGATAAAGAGGGGTAGTACGTAGATCAAAGAGGGAAAAATAACACTGGATAATGATGGAGACAGACTACACTGAAAAGGACAAAAATAGAGAAGTTATCTCCAAAGGAAAAGAGATGAAATGGCAAAGAGAAATTAAGGCAGCATACCAAATAACCAAAAGAATGGTTTGGCCACAGGACAACAGACACCTGCGGGCAAAGCGAAGGGCTTTGCAGTCTGGATAACGGTGAAACAACTGAGAGGGCCCATGGACACATGGCTGGAAGCCCTCCATGGCCCCTATTTTGCTGCACTGCAAACGTGTTCTCTGCTTGTCATTCAGCTATTTTTTTCATCTCTCCCCAGGGTGGGGTGCAATGAAGATGATCATTGAGGATGTCTATTCCTAGAGTATTAGGTAAGTATGTAAGTTAATATATTAAGGCGTGCTAAAATTTTCTGAGGGCTGGGATGTTCACTGTTAAAGCAAACAAAAAATATCTCCATGGATTTTCAGAGCTATCTGAGTGCGGTGTTTGAGGCCTGATTTTCAAGAGAGGGACACTGCGCTCTGATGAGCCAAACTAATTCGCAGCCAGGTGGCTACCTGACCCTAAATAGGTTTTCGCACCGAAATGAAAAAATACATCATCTTAGTGATAGTATTTCAAAAGAGCAAAAGTTTTATGAAAACGTTCTAGAAAAAAGCTACAAGACTACTTACTATTTTATGTAAATGTTACTACTATCACAACTTCAAAATAAACACTGCGTCCAATTCTCTAATATTTCAGAAAATTTCTAAATCTTACACCTTGACATGATTTTAAGGGATTTATGCTTAAATAAAACGAATGGAGCAGAATGGAAAAGCCAGCCTATTGGAATAACACTTTATTCATGCCAAATTACTTACATTTATTATGACAGCAAGCTTTCCAATACCTCTGAGGATATTATACCAGATTCCTAAGGAAGGAGACAAACACATAAATGCTGTTCCAGTCATTAAAATCAGATAAATTACATTTTTAGTTAACAGTGTTAGGAGTACTTATGACTGCCAAACTACAGTTATATTTTAAATAAAAAAAATTATAAGACATTGATGTAATGACTTTTAAGCAAAGGGACCCCATGTCTGTCTTCCAAAGCTGTGTTTAGGCAACTATTTTTTTTAGGTTTTAAGCTACCAGCTTCTTTGAGGAAGAGGAGGGCAAATGTGAAACAAAAGAATGACAGCATGGGTAGAAAAGAAAAACATGAAATTTCATTCAAACTTCTAAAATGCTTGAAGAGAAAAAAGAAAGCTACAGAACCTGGAAAGCTGGAACCCTTACACACCTGGTGTAGAATACACTAGTCTTAACAGTTTTAAGGATCTGAATCTGTTTCTACACCTTCTCATCACTATCCTACCTCAGCTTCGAGAAAGCAAAGTTCCAGTGGAGCCACTTGATGGGATTTTTGCATTTGCATCTGGAAACCATACAGATAGGGTTTTCCTCAGCGTGGGCTGTATGCATTCAAGAGGTAACACCAACCAAGCCCATACTGACTCAGGTTCAACCCCTCTGGATTTAGTCTGAGGATGTTGCCTGATTCCCACAGCTCTGCCCCTTCCCCATCTCCAGACCCCACTTCTCACTGAAGGGTTTCTCTGAAGTCTGCATAAAGTGCTGGTTTAGTTCATGTGGCCACACACCCTCGTGCCTGGCTTCTCTAACAGCATCCTGGATCATTAGTGACAGCTTGGAAATTTCTCCTTAGTCGAGGTATTCAAAGTGCAAGATTCAGTCTTGATGGAAAAATCCAGGGCTGCTACCAGATCCGAGTGGTTACAGCCCTGATAAGCTGGGTCTGAAGAGTAAAGAAGATGTAGGTGGCTTTATGCAGAGTGACATCGCTGGAAGACTCCTCCAGCCTGGCTGAGTCCTTTGCTTGGTAAGTAACTTATACTTCATATAGCTCTGGTCTTCTGGCACAGCATATGCACGCAGCCTGGGCAGACTGCAGAACTGAACTTCAGGAATAGATACTGCGATGTCAGTGGAAGCAGAGATAGACCTCTGTTTGCTGCCAGTGGTTACCCACTGCCTTTAGCAGGTGGGACCTTCTCCCTTTCCTGATGCTGCTGATGGCTGCCCTAAAATCTCGCCTGGTTTGCCTGTGGCCATCCCATAGTCTCTGAAAGAAGTGGGTTTCTTTCATCCACAAGAGTGGGACTGAATTGCTATAAATTGCAATTAATACCCTCTCAAAAACAAAACCAACGAGCCTCCCAAAACCAAACACAACCAATAAAACCATCACCCCTCCTTACATCTCTACCGGCAACCTTAGCATGCAGCATCAAATCACCAGCCACAAAACGCCCCAAACGCAGTGTCATGGTAAAGGCAACGGCATGACAAAACACCATTTGTTCTTCAACGCTAGGGTGATTCTAGGGCACAAGGATGAGCCCAAGGAAGATCTCTGCTTGCACAATACCAGAATGAACACCAAGTTTAATAACAGATCATGAACTTCTCTGCTCTTGCTGACTGGCTCTGTAATATGAATAATTATTTCAATGACCTTTTTACTCCTAAGTAACCAACACTGGTGAGAAACAGCTTCCTCACTGTATATACCCATAGCTGTTAGCCCCCCGCAGTAAGGGAGGGCCAGTCTGTTGTCGCCGTACAACCGCAGAGCCCAGTTCCAGCTAGATTCACGGCAACCTTCAAGCTTCCCCCTTCCGACGTTCATACCGAGTAGGGACAAAGAGACACATCTACCCACAGACTTCCAAGTCTCACTCCCAAGTGTATTTCACCAGCCCAGCCCAGAATTATTAAATGCAGAAATTTTTGCTTCTGCAAGAAAACTGCATTGCCAGGAAGAACTGTTGATGCGCAGAACCATGCAAGATACTGTGCTATCCTATTGATCATTTTGATTTGAAAAGTGATATTCTGTACTTAATAAAATATTAATCTGAATTTAAAGCTCCGGTCTTTCTATTTAAAAGTAAAGCCTTGATAAGTTGTGACAGTTCACAGTTAAGCCACAGTCTAATGTTTTGAACTTTCCTTTAAATATCTTCCTGTCAATTGAACTAACTCAGCGTAACAATATCCTGCCATCAATCCAGGAATAAACAAACAGGGATAACAATAGCAATATATGCACTTACCTATATCCTTTGCTCTGACTGCTACCGGTCTCCTCAGCTCAGTGACAAATTTTTTTGCATCTAGACGGATTTCAATTATGTTGTTCAACAAAGCAAACAAAGGTGCCAGTGGGAAGGACGCAACAAACAAAGTCACAAATCCAAACTGAATAACTGAAAAGAAAAAGCAACCATTTCAATGGCTGTGGTCAGTATTTATCAAACGCATGTGTAGCATCTTGTCAGTGCCATCCCCTCAAATTCTAACAAGATGAGACTCGCTGGGAGGCTAAACCACATTTTCTGAGTCAGGCAACGTTTGCCCGACCGCTGCACCATTCAGGCATTGGAGGGCCAGTTGCCCCTCTTGCAAAAGCCAGGGCTGCTGAGGCAAGGCAAGGTAACCAGAAGGATGAGGAAGCTCCTAAAACAATTTTGCCTTAGGCAAGGCTGGCACAGGAGTGATCTGAGGGAGTGGGACTCTGGCAGTGACTGTGTTAGCTCTACATAAACTTGCCATACTCCACCCAGCAGGTTTTTAGCCCTTACCCATCACTCTGGAAGGTTTCTCTTCTGGATAATAGAAGCTTACTGGCTTTGAAAAGGACACGACTGGTCACTGGACACCTTTACTGGGAATAACTTCCTTCCTACAACCTGGGATTGTATTAGCTTTTGTTTGATGAAGACATCACATCGATTTCATACCCACCCTGATACTGTTAAAGCCTCATCTTTCTCTTCATCCATGACTTCCAAATACTGATCTCACTAACTGCATATTTTTAGGAACCGACACCATGACCTTGTAGTTTGTACCATTAAATTTCAATCTTTTTCAACTACTCTAAACATCAAAGTCATCAGGTATTCTAATTTGCCTTTGCAATTACTGGGCATGACAATTTTGGGTCTCAGTATCCTTCAATATCCTTTACCACTATTTTTTGCTAGTCATTCCTTAAAATACTAAACAAAATTGCTCTTTTAAGACAGATCCTTCAGGAATGTCTGATACCATAGCAAACAGCATTATGTCGAACAGCTCTCAGCCTTTCCAAGATTGAAAGTAGGAAAAGAAATGTAGTTGTACAGGCACAGCATTGTGGAGCTGGTATCCGGTGCTTAATTTCTACATCACTCACTCAACATAACACATTACTTGAAAAAAAATAATTATGTGATCTGTCAAGTACAATCTGGTCTACCAGCACACAGGTCTCTCAGAAGATTTAGTCCACATTTCAGAAGACAGAAACAAACTGGTGTGAGAATACCCAGTGGAAATTCTCAAATCTGAATTAAGTAACTCATTTCCAATGTAGGGTGCAACCAGTGACAAAACATGCCTCATAATCTCAAGTTTATGCCATTTAATTGTTTGCATTTGAAACCTGACAGTGACATGTCACATGGCTTAAAGGGAAATATCTAACATAGTGCTAAGTAAGTGCTCATGAACAGCAGAGAGCACAGTTCATCCCTGAAGCAGCCCGTGGTTGGCTGAAACACGCTACGGTCTAAGACTATCCACTTTAATAATTAAGTTATGCCTCACATCCACTGTCTACCAAATCCACAGTTCAAAAACCTCAGCTCTCCATCCCAGTCAGTCAGAATAATTATGGTTTAAAATGCCTGCCTTCCACCTCACTCACTCATTTCCATATATTCAGGGGTAAGTCCAGCAAAAGGCTCCAAGTTATAGTCCACTTCATAACGCTGCTTTTTTTTCATGTGCTCTTCATGGTCTAAAGAACGCCGACGCTTTAATTTCATGTATCTTATAAATTTCTTCATTTTTCTGGGGGAAACGAAAATTGGTTAGCATGCTATTCTGGTCAGAGTGCCCATTTTTCAGTTATTTTACATTAACAGACATAATAAGCACCATACCTATTTTAATAAAAACTGCACAAGGGCCTCAATATGCTAAAAGTATCAGGGATCAGCATGTTCAGGTACGAAACATGGTTAAAACTGAAACACATGTTCAGTGTTACACCTTTTGCTAAGCAGTAGGAAAGCAATAGATCGCCTAGCACCTCTCAGAGATACTGCTGGATGCAGTTGCAGCGAGGATGCAGGTATCTGGGTATGCATGGCTTGGATGGGTTTACTCTTCGCTGGGTAAAAAACTGGCTGGATGGCCAGGCCCCAAGAGTTGTGGTGAATGGAGTTAAGTCCTGTTGGCCGGTCACAAGCAGGGTTCCACAGGGCTTGGTGCTGGGGTCAGTTTTGGTCAATACTTTTATCTATGAACTGGACAAGGGGATCGAGTG